TTTTTGTAAAGAAAAAAACTAATTTTTTTTTCTTAATAGTCTTATAAACGTGGACTTGGCGCGATTTTTTACAGTGAAACTGTTTATGTTCGGATTATCATATTATAAAGTACCAATATGCCAAATTTCATTAAATTCTGAACGTAAATTCTAAAACCGGTAGTACTACCTTAAGTACAGAGAATGATCCTAGACGGACAAATATAAAGAGATTCGACTGTATGCATAGGTTTAATCGCAACGAATATTTCAGTCAAATTGTAATTTTGTTTGTAATATAAATTTTCTAAAGAATAATCGACTGATTACCTTCAAATTATAATTACGTCTAAGTCTCAATAAGCTCTTTTGAATGCCGCGATTGATTTCTTGGGGTTATTAATATTTTAATTAGTATTTATTATTAATTATTAGACATCTTTCCAATGTAATGATGGAAAATACACATCCGTAAAGTCGTTACAATTTAAACGATAATACGAGAGAGTATAAATTTAGGCAAATAACTCTGCTCCTCCTATAAGCAAGTCTAAAGCCAAGACTAAAGCAACTCGCTTGGCATGATAATGGCTAACCCCGTAAGTCGTGAGAGCTTACCGCAGGAGTATAGCCCTCAATTCACGCTTCTACAATGTTCGTTCCTATAATCCAAATCCTAGTGATAAAATAGGTACAAGCTTTCTATAATCCTCGAGAAATATCTACAGTGAACATTGTCACTCTTATTGTATAAGTAATATACAGTCATTTATTTTTATAAACATATAATTATTATTATTATATCGTTTTTACTTGTATACCTATTTTGGTTTTTACAAGACTGTAACCCATATTCTCCACATTTTTTGCTATTGCCACAGTAATACCACTCAAGTGCCACTTTTTGTTATCATATAACATTCATAATGTTATACTTGGCTTTTTCGGCCCTTTTAACTAACACTTGTTTCTTTTTGCGTTCAACTCTTTTTATAATCAACATGTTCACCGCTTTTTATTATCAACATGTTCTCCGCTTTTTTTATAATTGCCATCTCCTTTTTGCACATAACCTCTATTCTCAATGCGGCTGTGGACCGACTCGTGCTTTCTGTACTGTATTCACCCTATTCCTCACCCCTTTCTATCGGTTGTTGGAATAGTGGCGATGGGGAAACCACAGAGAAAACCCATGCCAGTACAGTCGGCTATCGGAGCGACCTCCGACGGTTGGTGTTGGAACTATTCGAACAAACGTCGGGGATCGAACCCTCGCCTCACGACAAGATGCACGAACGAACTAACGGGGATAATGACTTAGTCCGCTCGGCCATCATGCCGCTTTATAAACATATAATTATTTAAACTCTGTTAATTATTTCAAAGATTTTTGTAAATATTTAATAATATTAATTAAAAGGGTAACATTAAAAAAAGATAAAAAAAAACTTCCGCTAACCAATTAACAGTTAGTGTCAATTCACAAATACGTTAGTATTTATTTACGAATGAAAATAATTACAGAAAGTGCTGGTATATACAGACCCTCAAGGAATGGAAGTTGATGTTCTTCCACTTTGTTGCACTAACGATCTTGTTTCCATAAAATAAATCTTAGGAATGTTTTAGCAATAATTTTTATTCCAATAAATAAACACCGAGATTTTCCTTCCCATACCTCGATGTTTACAAAGGAAAAGAGAAATAAAATTTAATTTTCTCTTTGCAGTAATGGTACAACAAGATAATACAGAACACTCGGTGAGTCTGTATTGAATTACTGTTTCATCTAAAAAGAAAAAATATATCTCTGGAGGATTTTATTTGTCGAAAAATATATATTATATTTTGTCTCAGTTCACTTTTCGTCAAGAAATTCACTTTGTTCTACAAATAAAGGCTCAAATAATCTACAATACCATGTAAATCACTAAATATGGATATTTTACGAGGACTCTTTTAAAAAATATACCTCGCAAAGAAGAATATTTGAAATACTATTTTTTTCACTGTTTTCTAGATTGTTACAAAAATATTTTAATAAACCAATTGAATAAAATTATCGATATTCGTATTTATTATTTTTCAACTAATTATACTCCTTATATGAGCATTTTTATAAAACAAAGTTATACTAATTATTCGCATGACTAATCGAACAATTATTAAATGTAACTAATCATTTATTAAATTTTAATGAATATTTTTTTGAAAGCAAATTTTATTTATAATAACTATTTTTTAATTAATCATTTTATTTCCAATATTTCTTTATACGAAAACTTTTAATTTATTTGATGAAATTAAATTCCATTATCTATTAAAGTAATAGGGTTTAAAAAACTGTAAAAGTAAAATTTTTATACTAATTTTTTCTTCAAGGGTCTAAGCAAATGATCATTGACAGTTAACAAACAGTAATTAACAAAACATTCATTAAAAATTAATAAATATTTGCGTTGATAAATATTTATCGAATTATCTAACGTTAAGAAATCATTTATTAACCGTAAAATGCGTCGATAGATGGCGACACATGTTACACCTCTCGCATGCATCTTAAAAAAAGCTAGATACACATTTCAGATTTCGATCACCGTCTGTTCTATAATATTTTACGTATAAAATCTAACTCAAAAACTGCAATACTTCTTTACCTCTATCTTTTTATTTTTAGGTGACGTTATTTCACTTTCTTATTAGTTGACTCGACGACTAGCCCTTCGCTCAAATGTATATTACGAGAAATACCCATACGTATCCCTATAGAGACTTCCTTTCATTTTGATAAAAAAAACTTGCATAACGTATGCACTTTTCTCAATGACTCATTTACACTCCCAAAGTGCAGGTAGCCTATTTAGCCACGAACGACATAATACTCACACTTGAGAACAAAAAGATATAGGGAGTGCTTGTGTGATCAGACAGACACCAGGGGTGTCTGCTGTCTCAAGAGCACCACTCTAAAAAGTACCATCATTTGGTTTTGCCTTATACGCGTGTTTCTCTTGTGTTCTCACATGATACTATCTATGATCTCAAGAAAACTCAAACACTCGTGGCAGATACAAAAATCTGAGTAGTGGTTGACTCTGAAAGCCATCTAGGAACTTTATGCTATTTTTGAGCTAAAAAATATGGTTAATATTTTTCTAGTTTGTCGAAATCACTTTTATGCACATTCAAGCTCTAAAATCTGGAAGTGAATTTGAAAAAACAAGCTTAAAAATTTTTGAATTAGCCCATACGTAGGAAGTTGGATCGTTATTTATCTTTGCTGGGAGATCAGACAATTCATGCGTTGATGCGCATTTGATGATAAATTTCTCTTTGATGCAGTTAAAGGGATATGCAAAAATTTAATAGCTAGAAAAAAAATATAAAATTCAAGCAGACTCTTATTACTTTTTTGATTGATCATTGGGCTACTCAAGAGATGGCTCCATTTATCGGAGATATAATAATTAACTCAAGTTATGATAAATGTTACACCTACAAAGTGGAAAGCAATGTTGTAATTATAGAAGAGAATAATGATTTATCATGTGACGATCACGAAGAAGCTGACACGAAAATTGTACACCATATCTGTAAAATTAATAATGACGTTGCAACAAATGTTTTAATAAAATCTTGTGATACAGATGTTCTAGTTATCATGCTTGTCAATATAGATTATTTAGAGTGTGATAAGTTGTCAATTTTTATGGAATATGGAAAAAACAATAAAAAACGATTGCTTAATTTATTCCAGTTGTCAATTGAACTAGGACCAAAAGTGTGCCCGAGCTTACCTGGATTTCATGCTATGACGAGATGCGACTATAATCCTTCTTTCTTCAAGGAAAGAAAAAAAGGCCATTTCAAATTCTGAAAGGAAATGAGGATTATCAAAATGCGTTTATAGATCTACAGATCTCGGATCTGCTCATGTAACTGGCTCCAGATATGAAGTGTTATTGGTATTAGAGAAATTTGTTTGCAAAATGTATGGTTTTAAAAATTTAACAGATATTAATCCTGCTAGATTTGAAAAATTTTGTTCGACTTACAAAGCAAATAACCCCAATGAACCATATGAAAAACGGTTCAAAAATTACGACACATCGAATCTGCTACCATGTAAAGCAGAATTAAAACAACAAATCCTTCGTACTCAATACATCACTAGCATTTGGCAGAATGCGCATTTACGTTTCCCAAGTACTTTGGCACCAACTAGGAATGGTTGGGACCTTCAAGATGGGAAATTTGAATTTTATTGGTTTGAAGGAGATTGTATGCCTTTATCCATTATGGATGCTTCAAAAGCAGAAAACAGAAACGAAAAACAAAATACAAGTACATGACATTTTATTATATTTAATTGATTTTATTATTTAATATATACTAATAAAATATTATTTGTCAGTGATTTCAGAAGATATCGACGAAATTACAGCTTACAGCAGAGCCGGACATTGTTACGGCCAGCGTAACTACCCTTTATTATTAACAAATAATTTTAGGACTGTTAAAATACACGCTAAGAAAAATTATATTCAAGATAAATAATATTTCAAACGCTGAGGCTAGAATATTCTATTCTTAAAGCAGCAGCCAAGGCTACATACTTCTCCTCAGTCCCAGCTATCTACCACCAATTACTTCCCCACATTTTAGTGACCGTAGAAAAGGTTAAAGTTGTCTAACTCTAGTATAGGCTGAATCAAGATCAGATGAGTTGGATGATGCAAAACGCCATCGTGGTCCTTTCACTTTTTTTTCTGCAACCCATACTCTCGACATACGTGGAAGCATAAAACTCCTCTAAACGCCCGTTATCACCACTGCTCATCTCATCTAAATACTTTTTTAGAAACATCTAACTGAACTAACGTAACTAATTTTCTAAAAATGCTTTCAAAAATTATTTGTAGTCCATATATATACTCACCAATTTCTACCCTATAAAAACAGTTTAACTAACTCTTATGTCACACAAAGATCTCGGCGACATTCTTGAAACGTTTCCTAAAATTTGACTCTGTAAAAGGTTACCAAAGGTGATATTAACCACCTTTGGTAAAAATGTATTACCCACCGAAAAACTTAGACCTCGAATGCGAAATTACTTTCTCTCTAATTAACGTGATTCTTTAACTATTTCTAAAATAATATTTTAAAATTTTTACCTACAGTAAATTTTCAATTCGTCTTATACGCGAAGCCAGTGAATCAAACCAGAAACTTCACCTCTCCTACTTTTTTATTATTATCTAGGAACTTTATGATGGCCTGGGCCCGCCATACTTTCCTACATGGGTAATCTAACATTTTTGCGGCAAAAGTATATTTTTAAATACAATATTATTTCACGAAAGTGCGGTATTTCTATTTCGTTAAAATCCGTTTCTTTACAAATTATCTTTAGTAATACCTTTTCTCAGGTAAAATAAATTACACTCCGCGACAATAGTATAACCCACCCCTCGAATTTTTTTTATATTTACTGTAAAACTAAATACAAGTAAATAAATTCCTAACGCGCCAGCATTGTTTTCTTGATTCTAGTATTTGTTACGCAGCGGCGAAGTTATTGGTTTGATAGCGCGACAAAAGTATAACCCATTCGTCTCATTGGCTCAAGCAGCTCGGTGCACTGGACATGTCAATTCATGTTTATACTTGTTTCGTGTAACTCGTAAGTTCTTACGCATAAATAAATTGTTTAAGTTAATATTTGTCTATTTTTTATTTAAAATGCCACGGGGAAAACACTTAAACGAAACTGAAATTAATATAATTAAAAAGTTGCATTCTGAAAATTATTCTAAGGCCAAAATCGCAAAAATGATCAACAGAAGTCATCGTGTTGTGCGAAATTTTTTAAAAGATCCCGATAACTATGGTAAGAAAAAACGGACAGGTTGATCGAGAGCAACTACACCACGAGAAAGAAGATCAATTCTAAGAGTTGCGTCAAATTCTACGCTTACCGCAAGACAAATCGCAGCGGAGGCTGGTGTTAGTACTAATTTAAGAAACGTTCAACGCATTATACGTGAGTGTGAGCATTTAAAACGTAAGAAATTACCAAAAAAACCACCGTTGTCTGCTAAACATAAACTAGTTAGATTACAATTTGCAAAAGATCACGTTCAATGGAAAAGAAAGTGGCGAAAAGTTATTTTTTCTGATGAAAAGAAGTTTAATTTGGATGGACCTGATGGTTTTAATTACTATTTTCACGATTTAAGAAAAGATAATTTTATATTGAGCCGTCGGCAAGCCGGAGGTGGTAGTGTAATGGTATGGTCTGGCATTGGATACTCAGGTAAAATGGATATTAAGTTCTGTTCTGGAAAAATAACTAGTAAACGATATATAGAAGTAATAAACGAGAAAATTAACTCTCACGCAATGCGAATTGCTAGCCCTAATTTCATTTTTCAACAAGATAATGCCAGTATCCATCGAGCAAAGGTAGTTAGAGACTACTTTAGTGAAAAAAATATTCAAGTTCTTGAATGGCCAGCATATTCTCCTGACTTGAACGTAATTTAAAATTGTTGGGGAAATTTATCACGAGCTGTCTATCGTGGATCAAGACAATTTACTTCTGTTAAAGAGTTAAAAAAGGTCATAGTTGACGAGTGGCAAAATATAAATCAAGACGTAATTAAAAAGCTATATGACAGTTTACCGGACCGAATGATTGAGGTGATAAGTAAAAGTGGTGGATCTACTAAATATTAGATTACATGAATGATTATTGTTTGTTATATTTTTCTCGAATTTTTATTTAAATTTCATTACCTGGGTTATACTTTTGTCGCACTGCAAAACCCATCAGCATTTGTATTTGGTTAATTATGCATTTAATAAATAATGTATTGATAGTATAATAAACTTACTAACACCCAAATTTTGTGTATTAGTAATATATTAATATAACTATAATTCTTTATCAGATATGAAAAAATTAGGGGGGTGGGTTATACTTTTGTCACGGAGTGTATCATTGAGAACGGCTAGACGCATTTTTAAATATAAAAACCACGAAAGAAATTATACGACGGGTATAGAAGAAGGGGACTTTGGTTACCGTTTTAATGCTCAAATATTCAGCGTTGGAAATATTATTTATCATGAATGAAATTTTTCTTAGTGTGTATTTAAACAATTCTAAAATTATTTGTTAATAATAAAGGGTAGTTACGCTGGCTGTAACAATTAAAATGGTAGGTTTGAAATATTATAGGTAATGGAAGTTTTTATGACTTATGATATACGTGTCTCATGCTATAGTTCCTCTGTGTTACTTATATATGCTAACATTCAAATGAAAGTTTATAAAATACTAGAATTTAATTTGCGCGCGCAAGCGCGCGCCTAAATATAGAGTTTACTACTTATAATATATTCGACCAATCACATCACAAATAAATTGGTCTCAACATATCCTATATACTAAAATTGATGGTAGAATGAAGTTAGCTTAGTATCGAAAACATGGATCCTGATTCCTTATTGGTTAAGATTAAGGCGCGCGCGTAGCGCGCTATTCAAATTTTTAGTACTGTACCATAATTCTCATGACAATTTTATATTAGGACTAGAATTGAATTTTGCGCGCGCAAGCGCGCGCTTGAATATTGGTGTTTGTCTATATTTTCATGCTTATGATATATTTGACCAATCACGTTACGAATAAATTGGTTTCACAAACATTTCATCTCAATTTTATGATGGGACTAGAATTTAATTTTCGCGCGCAAGCGCACGCCTCATATTTATTGTCATGATATATTTATGTGTCGTTTATGTATATTATATTCACTTTCAACCAATCAGAATGAGAATAAATATTTTCAACCAATCACATCATGAATAAATTGGTTTCACATATATTTCATCTCAATTTTATTATGGGACTAGAATTCAAATTTACGTGCGCAAGCGCGCGTCTGACTATCGAGTTTGCATATATTTTCATGCTTATGATATATTCGACCAATCACGTTACGAATAGTTTGATGCCACATACATTTCATCTCAATTTTATATTAGGATTATAATGGTAATTTTAGAAATATTAAAGATGAAATTATATTGTGTGAGAGTGTGTGTGAAATTATTGAATTAATAAACAAGATATTTTATAATTATTATTCTTATTATTATCAGCAATCCTCTCACTCTCCCAGCCCTGGGGAAACCTCTCTTGCTCTTCCGGTTCCAGAAACCGTTACAAAATACTGGTGGTGCTCACCAATAGAATTGTTTCATATTTATTAATTAAATTTATTAGTGGCGTTAATTATGCGAGGCAAACCATCCCGTTAAAAAAAAAAAACCACCCAATTAGAAAAAAAAAATATTCCTTTTTCAAGTATGGCATCCTGTTTCAAGATTCGTCAAATATGGCGTCCGAGTAACATCAACGTAAAAGTGCTCTCTAAGTATTTTACATTTCATAGTGTTTAATATCAGTCTAAATTGGAGTAATTGGTACTGTTAATTTCGTCTTTTCTCAGTGGTGACATTGTAATAATAACACGGCTGTCTCCACCTTAGCCTGCATTATTATCAATAAAAATAGTTCGATTTTAGTCATCTTACAACTAACCAAAAAATATCAAGTTATCATCAACTTGCTACCACATGAGGCGTCGCCTTCAGTTAACATAGTCAACTAGTTCCAACACTAATATTAGCGTCATTACAATAACATCATTTTATAGTGACCGGAGTTATCGGCGTGTCGATACGATATAGTATATTACTGTTTTTGACATCGATTACACAGCACATGTCATCATTATTTACTTTCCGAAAATAGTGATCACTTTCAGTCAGTGTTTGTAAAATGCCTCCTAAATTAAATATTGGATCACATGGCAGTAGCCCAGTTTTTACGCCAAAAAAATGTAAGGGTTGTGGCAGTAACATTGTTACATCTGAACCCGTAAATTGTAACAAATGCCAGGCTCAGTACCATCCGGGGTGTGCAAAAGCTCAAAATATATTACAGACAGGTGGATTTCAAAAATGTTGTGGTCCCAAGAAAGCTCTTTCTCTGGATGACATAAGGGAAATGCTCCGTGTGGAAAACTCTACCCTGAGAAAAGAAATCTACGAAGATTCTTTGAAGGTTTTTGACCCGGTTAAAGCGAATGTTGACGCACTTCGTGTTGACCTTGAAGAACTGTCAGCGAGGCTTGGCGACAGAATGACAGCTATTGAGTCGGACAATGTGATATTAAGTAATCGTCTCGAAACGGCCTGTGCTGACATAACCAAGAACACTGTCTCCATTGACTCTTTAGCTGACAAATTGGAATTTACTCGTGGTGAAACGGAGGCTTCGATCCTCACAGAAGTTGAAGATCAAATTAGCAGGCGTAACAACGTCGTTGTATTTGGTCTCCAGGAATCCAAAGATCCTAGCCATGATCAGAGAAATAAATCTGATCTCAACCTCATCAAGGATTTAAATGCAGCCCTTCAGATGGACCTTGCTCCTGTAAATGTTCATCGCCTCGGTAAATTTTCGCCTGCTCTATCTCTTC